CGCGGGGGCTGAGCGGGGCGCTCCCCCGGCGGCGCGGTCCGCCGCCTGTAACCCGCGAAGCGGTCTCCGCGCTTCCCTCCCGTCACGTTTCCGACTTCACCCCCGTGAGTCTCCCCGCCTCCGAGCCACCCCCGGTTTTCTCTTCCAGCGGCACGGGAGGCCTCCCGCAGCGGCGGATCCTGCCCCTTCGTCTGCTCGGGCGCCCTTCGGGTCAGACTGCAATGAGCGGACTGAGGTCTCCTGGGCTGCTGGGGCTGGTGCTCTTAATGCTCTCGGCAGGGCACTGCAAAGAGAAAACTGACTCCGCAGATCTGAAGGACAGGCAGAGTCTCTTAAATCTGATCATGGAGATCATTCAGGAACTCAAGAGGTACCACCTGGAGAAGGACAGGGGGGTGCAGTATTTCTCCAAGCACGACTACAACTTAGATCGAAGGGAAGTGGCTGACTACGGAGGATACCAGGACGAGCAGAGAGTCGGTAAGTCACAGTCCATGACTTAGGAGATCTTTTTTTTTTCATCTAGGGTGCCTCGGTGCATGAGACATCACATCAGGTTACTAATTTTATGTCAAGAATTCACCGCTCAAAATACCTGCAGATTGCCTTTGGTATCACACACAGACACAGACGGCAGATGTGGAATAGAAAAACTCCATTCACATCTAGTGTCTCTTACTCTCTGGATAATGTGCTTAACTGAACGTCCGACTTCCTGTGTGTTGGCTTTGAATGAAACCTTTTAATAAGGGAAAAGACTGAAATGGGCTGAGATCAAAGAAATAAGGGATGAAAACGCTCTTTTTCCTGGAAGTTTATCACTTTTTGAAATGTGCTTGGTTTAAGTGTTTCTTGGAAGTGACCCTAGCAAGAGTTCCCCTGCAGGACTATAGTATGTCCTTGTAGATCTCACATCTAGAAGTCTTGCCTCCAGCTTGGCTTCATTAAACTTTTTGCCCCATTTCTTAGTCCCTTTTGTAGTCCAGAGGTCGCACCTTTGAAATACATGGGGACTGAAACAGAGTACTCCTCTGTCACTGTACAAGCTCTGACCAATTTGGGACACTCCTGCAGGCATCCTTCTACTCATTTGAATGGCTCTTCTCTAACCTCCCAGTGAAAAGCCCAGGTTTGTTTGCAAGACGTTCAGGGTTGTGTAGAGCACTCCGGAAGCAGTCGTACCAAGCCACGTAGTGATGGATAGTTACCGCTCAGTTTTGTGATGTACTTCTGTGCATCCAGTTGAAAGTTGGTTTGGCTTCTCCTGCTGCCATATCTAATTTACTGCTCGCTGTCACTCCCAAACCCCTACAGCACTACTGCTGCTCGTCTTGCCTCTCCTGCTGAAAGTGACTTTCTCAATATTTTCCAGCAGATCTCTACTCACCTTTTTCCAAACTGGCTTTCATTTTGCTAGCGTGCCATTTATTTTGCCTTTATTGATCTCATAAAGCTTCACCGTACCTTTTCTTCATTCTTATTCAAGTATCTTCATGATTTGTATTTGTTGGTGGTTGTCACAGAAGTGTTACTTCTCCATCTGGATCATTAATGAATATACAAAGGAAGACAATTTTGTTCCACTTAAGATCAGCATAGCGAGAACATTTTGTTTTATAAATGTTGAAAAGTTAGAGGCTAGACTAAGCAGGGAGTCCTGATCTGCGCAACTCTCAATCTCAGCATGGAATGTGGGCATAGTTTCTGGCCACCCTACATCAGCGTATTGGTGTGAAGCATCTGATTTGTGCTGAACAGTTATCTATGTAAATAATAAACCTACTTCAGAGCAGATTAGTTAGTAGCAGTGTCACTGACTCCTAAGCAGGATTTTTCATTCTGTTATTATAATGGAGTTATTCCCAGCAACTCCGTAAAGGAACTACTGCTTAAGAGTCTTTCATTTCAGCTTTGGCATCACTTTCCCAGTGAGCCTGTCCCATGGGAAATTTCTGAGTGAAGCATGTGTGTTTTTAATGCTCTTCATGACATAATTAGGTCAAATATGATAAGGTCAATTTTACTTACACTGACTAAAGTTAGAAGTAAATGAAGAATGACTTTCGAGAAGTGTCTAACCTCACAAGTGAATCAGATCTGGATGGAAATGCTCTCTGCTTTATATCTGATAAGAGGTGCCAGGGGAATGAAAAAGGCTGCTCAGGCATTTATGGTCAAATAAATAAAGCACCATGTAGTGTATCATACACAATCAGCACTAAGCTATCAGCATAGAGTTCGTAACGGAAAGCAATCAAAGATAGCTGTAAATCAGGAAGACACAAGCAAGGGTTAGGGCTAAAATGGATTTCAGTAAACCAGTTTCATTTTGCCATCTGCTGAACACAAAACGCAAGGCGGTAAACCACAAACATAGGGAGCCAGAAGAGAGCAATTTGCTTAGGATCATTTCCTGTGAATTTTATTTACTGCTAAAGGCAGGGGGGGGTGGGGGGAGATTCCTGTAAGTAGATCAATCCTGTTTCACATTTACAGCAGGACAGTACTTGTATAAACATACCTGTGACAGAAGAGCGGATAGATTTGCCTAAGAGAATCAGAAGACACAAACCCAAAGTTGAATGTATCTTTGGGTCTTTACCGCTAGCAGAACATGCTATTTCTGAGCAACCATGAACTAAAATTTCTGGAACAATTTAAATCTAGATGAACTTGATGATGTAATTCGTAGAGAGCTAAAATCTGACTCTTAGTTAATTGTCATCATTGTTAATGACTGCACACCTCAGATGTTACTTGTTTCATCATCACAGTGTGTTTCACAGTGGCTTCTTATGTAAAACAAATGCTTGCCACTTTGTCTACTGTATGCAAAGGACTTTTGACCTCTGTGCATCTATCAAGACGTAGTGGTGATATTTGCTGGACAGAGTTTATTCCCTGTCCTCATACTATGCTTGGCAAGCATAGTTCCAGTGCAGCAGACTGACTATTTTTTCTGTCCAACAGAAATAGTTCCCAGAGATCTGAGGATGAAAGACAAGTTCTTAAAGCATTTAACAGGTAAGTTTTAATTTTGCGTTGGTATCCATCACTTCACATACGTACCATAAGCTGCACTACTATTCCTGTGAGCTGTGCTGACTCATAACTTATTTTTTCTTTATATTTCAGGTCCACTCTACTTCAGCCCAAAATGTAGTAAACACTTTCATCGGCTTTATCACAATACAAGGGACTGCACCATCCCAGCATGTAAGTGCCCAAACCAGGTACTTTCATAAAACTACAGAAAACTCTAAAATTTAGTAGCTCTATGAGGTACCAGTAGTGACACTATACTAGAATACATTCTTTGCAGTGAAGAATTTGGAGTGCTCTAAAATGTACTAAGTATGCTTTACAGTGTTGCTAGAACAGCATCAGCATTATGTTGGGGAAAATAGAAACAGAATTTTTTCACTGCAAATAAACTGCATAGAATGGCTGTAAACACTGCTTCCTTAGGTACTGATATATACGCCTCTTTCATTCCAAACCAAGGGTGTTTGCTTTTCATAAGAACACGATTCCTCTCGCAAACCTCTCATATTTTATTTTTAGTCCTGCAAATTCAAGATAGGATCAGAAATCCAGGTGGGGCTATTTCCTTTTCATTGATTATTTATGTAGAACATATTTTATAGACATTTTATATTTTGACTGTTCAGCTACCAATCTACCAGTGATGCTGACAGTGAATCTTTGCAACCCTTGTCTTCAGTGAATTACAAAAGTTTAAGTTCTAAGGCTTAGTAAAAACAAACAAAAAAAGTGCTGATGGACAAATAAGCAAATGTAGCTTATGATACCTCATCAGTGTTGGCAGCACAGAGAATTAAAATAAAATAAATAATGAAACATTGATATTTATCAGTCAGTAGATGTGACTCCAGATTCATACTGAGGTGGGCCTGTTAAGTAAGCAGATGCTATTTTAGTACAGCCTCTTCAGAATGGAAGCACATTTTATTTTACTTGTCTGAGGTCAACCAGTTGGGTCAGTAGCAGAGCTGGGAATAGAAACAAGAGTTACAGATTCCAAGTTTCAAGTATTAATAAATATTTCAGCCCAATGTATTTTAAAGGCATATTTGGTAAGAACTTCAGACTTTTTCCCTATTTGTAAGGTTTTAGATTAGGAATACCTTTGAAAGATAAGGATTTACAGATAATGGCTAACCGGATCACGTTCCGTTTACGTGGATGGAGATGGAAGTTGTTCCTAACTAGTCTGTTTTGAACAAGCGAATGGTCGTATTACCTTCTTCATAAGGATCGCAACACAAACATCATTTGACTCAGCACTAATGAGTACTCCAAGCTGTGAAGCTAAAAACTAGTTGGTCTTAAAGTCTGAATTAGCCTTTTCCTCGTGACAGGTGACATAGCCACCAACATAATGTCCAGATAATAGAGGTTAATTTGTATGAATGGCAATTACAGCATATCTATGCTGTGAGTTAGGGATTGTTAACATTGCATCTCTAGGAAACATTAGATGTAGTTACTCATTAATGAAATAATGCCCAACGAAAATCAACATCAGTCACCAGACTGGACTGACTAGCATCTCCTTAGAGTAACTTTCTTCTAAGAAAATGAGGTAAACAACCAGCTTTAATTCTTCATGCACAGGATGATGTTACTTTTTGATCATACCCTGATTTCCAGTAATACTGTTCATTCTATGTAGAAAATTCAAAGCCCAAACAACAAAGAAATTAAAAGCATCTATGATGATGCAACACAGTGGTAGCCAGTACAAAAGCACTGTGTTGGCATACTTTCTAGTACTTTGTACAGCATAGTAGCATTGACACCTAAAGAGTAATTTACTCTGCTGTCTGTCCATAACCAACTTTCATCATATTTGCTTTCAGTTTGCCACGTTAAAGAAAAAAAAATAAATCTTGATCAATTTTTTAGTTTTGCATTGTTTCTGCCCCTTATTATGAATGCATCAAAAAGCAGAAGGTACCTAAAATAAGAACTACTAACAACAGGACTACTGTGGAGAAAACAATTTTACTAGTTTTAAGATTAAACCCCATACAGTTATGAGTGAATTTGTATGATGTGGTCACCTACTCGGGCTGGACTTAACCTTCCCATGACTAGGAGATATAGCCTAATTTAACTGTTTTTTCCAGGAAGAAAATTTATTGAAGAGTTGCATTACTTAATACTAAGTTGATAGACTTGCTCACTGAGGGTTGGATTTCAAAGATGTATGAGCACTACTTACTCTTCTTCTAGTATGAAAATACTGCAGTCACATTTAGATCCCACATTTAAGCACAAACACAGATGTATAAATTTTCATACATATATACACTTGGAGAGCCTCCAACCATGTTCAGGCTATTTGTTTATAGATAGTACATACGCACAAGTCAGTTGCATAGTTACATGTGCCATTAGACATGGCTTTCAGTGATGCAATTTTTACACACTCCATTTCTAAGTCCAAGGAGCCAATTTCTATACTGCTGCAAACTAAGGTGTTCATTGAACTTTATTACAACAATAATTTGCAAGCCGTTATCAATTTTGATTTTTAAAGGCAAAATTGGTTACTTTAGTAATCTGTTTATGCTTTTTTCATGACAGACTACAAAAGATGTGCCAGGCTTCTTACTCGGTTGGCAGTAAGCCCAATGTGCATGGAAGGATAAAGGTAAGCTTTTTCGTAACAGTAATGACATTCTACTGCATAGCAAAGCAGTGGATTTTGTGTTTCATACATGAAAATTCATGGGAGTATAATAACAATTGTCCTTTGGCTAAGGTATTCCTCTTTCAGAGTACCTGAAGTAACTGGCTTAATCTGGCAAATATTGGCAATAAATAAAGGGTACACCCTACGGAAAGTCATCATATAATACTCCACGTGCATTAGCTGTGAATTATTCATAGCAGCATACAGTTAGGAGATAGTGAATTTGTTGTTACAGAACAAAACACAACAGCTGTAGCTTATTTTTCAAGTTGACTCAGTACACAATTGCCTGCATTGGCAGTGGCAACCCTTTTATGTGTGCAGCTGTGGATCTATGGTGTACATTTTAGTATGAGTTAATATATACAAAGCTATATACATGAAAGCTTTATAAATGCAGATAGGTTGCAGGTGCTTTTATAAAAATTCAGTTAAAATGTATTATTAGTAACACTGATAAACTAACTTTAAGCTACTCAGATTTCTTGGGATTTTCATTGCATGGGAATTTCACCATGCACCAAAGTTAAAAAAAAAAAAAAAAGGCCAACCAACCAAACAAAAAAGTACATCCAAATTATCTGTATTTCTAGAAAACTAACACGTAAGACTACAAAAGGACTAATTTACATTATGTCCTCAACCTTTACCTGAGACAAAAATGTGACTTCTGACAAAGGCATATGTAATAACCCGTATGGATTTGTCAGTAACAAATACTGTCAAACCAAGATATTTTAACTCTCTAACAAAATACACATCTTGTGGAGAAAGTCAGTGAGAAAAAGCAATACATGTTAAGCATCTTAGTTTATTTTTTTAAAGCATTGGCACTCTTTTGCATGGCATTCTTACAAGCAAGCTAGGGAAATACGATCAAGATAAATGTAAGAATGGCTGGAAAAAAAAAAACAAATAAGTTATTAGTGCTTCACTGTCAAACTGGAAAAAAGTATTGCGCAGAGTCACACAGCTTCATTATGGTGTTATTCAATATTTTCATAAATAACTTTGGGTGACAGAAGACAGCGTATTTATGGATGACAGTAGTGTAGAAGAAGCAACCATGATAGAGTACAACCTTGGAATTGAAAATAATCTTGGAAAATTAGCTGAATAGTCTAAAAACAGGACAAAATTTAAAGGAAAGAGCAGAATTATGAAGTCACGCAGGAGTAATCAACTGCCGAAATACAGGGCAAGTTGTGAATAGCTAGACAGTTCTGTAGAAAATGTAGGGGTTGTAGTGGATCACAAACTAAGCATGTCAACCATGTCACACTTGAAAAAAGACAACATACTGGAATTTATAAATAGGAACATTGTTTATAAAATACCTGAAATAATCACTGTTGCTGGAATACTGTATTTAATTAAGGACACCATGAAGACATATGGGTGCTTCTTGTAAGAGTCCAAAGACGAGCAACATGGATGACCAAAGACCTAGAAAACTCAGTTTACAAGAAAAGATAAAAGGAACTGGGATTATTTAATCTAAAGAAAAGACGAGTGCAGGAAATACGATGGAGGTATTCCATTTCATAAAAAGTGGCTACAAGCCATTTTCTCTACCCAGTGTGGATAAGACATCATTTGTTTTATTTTGCAACAAGAGAGGATTCCAGCTAGACATTAGAAAAGACTTTTCTAATGGCAAGGGCAGAGGTAAAATATTAAATCATTTGATGTAATTCAGCATCCTGACTTTATGCTAAATTCCTCAACATTTAAGTATTTTCTGCTTGACTTCCTAAAATAAACCTAAACTAGCCCAACTTCAATACAGAATGTTTCTAATATCCAATAACTGTTACATGACTTGTTGTCTTAATTTGAAACATGCAGCCTTGGAGAGGAATCTCTTATCCATACACTGTGTGTTCAGGGATGGCATTGTGGAAACAATTAATTAATAGTACAATTCATACAATGGTATTAGGACAACTAAAAGTTAGCAAATAGGTAAATCCTTTGATCTAATTAGGAGAAATGCCAGGGATTCAACCTTTCAATTGTAAAATCCAGAAAGCAAGGAAAAAATTAGCTATTATATAATGATATTCACCTGGGAAAGATAGGTGAATAATGTTATTACCAATACTAATAAGCAGATAATCAGAGTAGGGAATTCTTTTCTCCCTTTCCTTAGAAATTTTTATCTGTATCTTTACATCCTATCATGCAAACACAAACTCATAACATGAAGGAACAGTAACTAAATTAGTCCACATCTCAAGCGTGGAGTCAATTTAAAAAAAAGTCCATCTCATTTTGCCAAACAACTCCTTTGCTCAACCAGCAGGTATGTTTCAAGGTGAGTAACAAGCCTCCGCTTCTGTTATTCTCCACACAGAGACAAATCATTAATAGTATCAGCACTCTTAAGCAACCTCTATTAGTAGAAAGGAAGGCTGTTCTCTACCTCTTATGCCTTGAGATCCACAGGTGTTTCCATAAAATTAAGCATCCTGTCTCCTCAGAGCTTTTCCACTGCATCAGTTCAATTTGTGTGGGTAAGATCCTCTCTCACAGAAAAGCATAATGCAAGGCTTAGTTTCATCATTTCATGGACTGAGCTGTAGAAAAATGGGTTCTTTTTACATTTTTCCACTTACCAAACCATCCTTCTTCTCCACAAAGTGCACAGTTACCATTAGTCCAAGGTGTTTTCAAGAAGCTTCAAAGTTTTGAACGTAGTACCACTTATACATAGCAAGACGATTTCGAAACCATTTCTTATTTAAGGTGGTGCTCTCATGTAAGAAGGGTTTATTTACAGTCTGGCAATAAGTATACACTTCTGGTTGCTGCCATAAGGCTACTAGTTAGTAGTTCTAAAGCTCAGAGTAACTCCTGAATATTAAGATAACGAAATTTTCTTTCATGGTACTACTCCACAAAGGTCTAAATTCACAAGTAGAATTTGACTGTTTATATTAATTGTAATCACAAATACATTTAAAAGAATCTTTTTAAACTCCTGATATTATAAACAAGTAAAATAACATATGCTTAATTATCCACACCTACATTTTTCCCCCAACAAATTAGATTTCCTGTTTTGCTCAGTGGCTGATTTTCGTTTTATTGGAGGCTTACAAGTGGGCTGGGCTATAGATGAATTATTGCTTTTTGATACTTTGGAAAACTAGTATTTTTGGTGCATTTTTCAGATCGATGGACACCTGTCCATGTTTAGAGATCAATTTGGGTGTGAAGAAAGAAAAAAAAAAAAAAAGACAGATTTGGGTTTTGTTTGAACTTAAAAAGCATTTTAGACTGTCATAGCTTTAAAGCACACAAGATGTTGAAACTCAGTGCTAAGATCAAACAAGAAAATAAGATGCGAAAACAGGAATTAGGCATCTATGACTGTCACAGTACATACCTAAGGGTCTGTGTGTGATACCATGTGTCTCGTGGAATCTTCGCTTTTTCTCACTGGGCTCCATCTTCTATCTTTTTTTTTGGAGCATATGTTCACATTTTGCCTGTCCCACAGATACAAGCAATGCAGGGGCCCAGTAAAAGCCCTTTTACCTGTTGAGATTGCACAAGTGAAGCCAGAGCAGCATATATTTGTATTACCACATCACTCAGTAGTCCTTTGTAGTCCCTTTGGGTTTTTTTTTTTCCTATCAGCAACCCAGGCTGTGTTCCCTGGTTGCCACCAGCACCATCTCCAACTAGTTTTATTCTGTAACACTTTCTCCTTCTCATGTTCAACACAGCTATGTCCTGTCCTTGATGCTCTTTCTTGTTCTGTTCTTCAGCCTCATTCTTCTCCCAGTTTCCTAATAGTTCCCATAGTCCATGCTTGCTTTGCTCCACCCCATGCCGATACATCCAACAACCATTATGTTGTCCGTATCTGCAGCAGGTAAGAAACGTCAGGGACGAGATTCCTGAAGTGTTCACCTAAAATTCCCAATTCAGATCTTGCAGATTTCCTGTGACAGATGGTGATGAATGCGGAAAAGAAAATCTGGCCCCTTTGACAGCATTTGTTACAATCACTTCTGCTACAGTCATTCAGACTTTACTGCTTTTGTTTGAAAACTGCAGGTGCTACTGTTGGTGCCCTCCCTTTTCCATTACCTATTCTTTAAGTGTTTGCTAGAGACCAACACTGATCTCATAATGTATGCTTAAAACCTCCTTGTACTATAAGGAGTAGTTCAAGGACCAAGGACTGCATTATTATGTATGATTACACAGTTCTGTTTTGAAGATTTCTTCTAATTACTGTATTGACAATATTTATGTATTTTCAACTTTTTTAAAGTTTCTACAGTTATTTCCAATGAACAAAATAAAACTAGTGACACAAACAGTTCTACACTAATACAAGACTAGTACAAGTAGTAGGAATCTCAGGCTAAGCAGAGAAAACGAGCTTTATACACTATAAAAAGACTATGAAAAAAATTTACCAGTTGCTTGTTTCCTAGAGAAGCAGATATAATTAATAATATTTAAAGGAAAAGCAATAGATACAGTATTTCTTGCTTAAAGTACATGATAGAGTAAGAATAAATATATCTACATAGGAAGGTCAAAGATTCTGTATAAAATTCCTAATAAGCTAAAGCACACTGCTAACTGAAATTTCCTTTGGAACACAGAAAAATCTGTGTAAACACCTCAAGACATATTGACCATACTAGCAATATATATTAAAAAAGCTGAAAATACAAGATAAACCTGGAAACTTTAAATACATAAAGAGAAAACTGAAATACCACACTAAATATCCCATTCCTGTACACTGTATCATATATCCATTATTGCAAACTATTCTTAAACCAAAATAATATTTGGGCTCTTAATTTTGCTTCAAGTGTTTTGTAACAATGGAAACAACAGCCCTTAATTGCTTTCTCTCTTACAGTTTCTTATTGACTAACATCCAGTGCAATCAAGAAATGTCAGACACTTTCATGTCATAAAAGAAGTGAAGGTAGAATTAAGATGTGGGTTTTGCATATCATTCAGTGAAGGCAGACTCTTTTTTTTCTAGAAAGCATAGCTTGATCCATCATATTCAACTTCCCATGACATGTTCAATCACCTCTGCTTGGTGACAGGAAGTAGCTCCCAAGGTAACTAATTTATGACTTTCATCAGAACTCTTGCTTTGGATTAAAGAGGCAGCCAGCATACATGGTTACTCGTGTGGCTTAGCCCAGCTTTACTGAGAGGCAATTCTGAGTCTTCCTTACTATGGGATCTCTGTGGCTAGCACCAGCTGAAACATTAAGAGCTTTAACATCTTCAATGCATGGATCTCTGTGATGTGATGCTCACATTAGAGTAGACTTCCACCTGTGTGTTCATACTTGAGGAAGGAATTTTTTGATCTTAGCACATGGAAGTTCTGCTACAAAATCCTACTGACACAATACTTTAAAGTTTATATTGATATTTAAACCACTAAATTCTTCTCTTATATAGATGAGCTGTTACAGAGTTTCTCTCTGTCATCATGCATAGATAATGACTAGAACCAAATTTGGAAAGCTGTAATACGCCTTTACAAGAGATTTCATTTGTGCTTTTTAAAATTGGAACAATTGTATGGTTTGGTTGGTTTCAGCTACTGTTGCTGGTTGGGTTTGTGTTTTGGTTTGTTTTTTTTCTTTTTATTAGCAAAGGAGAACTAAGAATCAAATGAAAGAGGAGAAAGGAGTTGTATAGCTACCTATGTTCTCAACAGAGACTAGTCAAATCGTATTCAGGATCTCCACTAAGACTACCTGCCATCCTTCAGCTAAATTCCAGTCCAATTTTCCTCTGCTGATGCATATAACATAGACTACGTGAAATAAAATAAATAAATAAATACAATTGCAACAGATTGATCAGTGCTAAAAATCTGGGGCCTTTTCAAGGGTTTCTGAAAATGCCAGGGATTTAGGAAACTGCAATTTAGCTGAGCACTGGGAATCTAAGACCCACAGCTTTTGATCAGCTATCCATACAAAACCAGGTATAGCTGAGATGACAAATGAGCTTCCTATCCACTTCCAGTTTTTCACCCTCAGTGAGCTACATATTCCCAGTAGTATTAGTAATGAAAAAAATATTTATTAAATTCTGTGTTTAACTTGTCAGTTGTACCACACACTGATGAAACCAAAAGCATGTTAATTTGTTTTTAAACATCACAGCTTAAATAGGGTACAGCAGGGGCACATACAGAAAGTAAGCTAGATGAAAATACAAGACAAGGAAAATTTATGTCAGTTTCCCCTCTAAGGAAGGATATTTAAAAAAAAAAAAAAAAGTATTTGTCCTATCTGCAAAGCCAGAAAAAAACTAAATTACATTAAGCTTTTCTGTAACATTATTACATTTCCTAATAGCTTTAAAAAAATTGCAAAACTAAATGTTTAAATACTACTAACAAGTACTTCTGTATGCACCAATAGCTTGATTTCCAGTGGATTATGTCAAGTCTGACTGACTTTGCATTCAAATGATTCTATTACAAATTATACTTAAGCAGTAGAAAATGTAGAGAAACTCAAGAGAATTCACACTGATCACGGGAAAGACAGTTACGTATGTTCAGACAGACATTATGAAAATTTTAACTGTGAAAAATGACATCGGCAAAAGTCTAGTATCAGAGAACCACTGTTTTTTATCTCCCACACGGACTTCTGGTGTCTATGAGACACACAAGCTTCAGCTGAATCTGTTTGCATGCAAGAGCAGTTCCTTTCACCCCTGCAGTTCCTGTTGACTAATAAGACATAGTGCATTTTTTACTTCAAAAAAAAAAAAAAAGGGCATTAACAGGTTGTCTTAGAAACACATGAAGCTGGGTAGAGACTTGCAGCATTCAGTGGTCACCTGTCTAGAAAATGCAGTTGCAGAAAACAAACCCAGAAGTTACTGGAGAGAGGATGGATTTCTAGATATGTATACACAGAGATGGTCACGTTACATTTTCTCAGAAGGCTTTAAGGTGTAGGGGAAAAGGGTCATGGAAACTTTCACTGCCCAACCTTTGAATTAACATTTGTAGAGTATAGACAATATCCGTACATAAGCAGTGCAGAAACCTGTAATTTCGTATCAGTGATTTTGATACCAGTGTCATAGAAATGGTTTTGATTTCATTCCAAGATACTATTCTGGGAAGAGTTAATAGAATGGGCAGAAAATTGAACCACTGCAGCTCCTACTCAGTTTGTGTTGCCTCAGTGTTTGCACGTCCCAGGGGCTATATTTATATGACCACATCTCAGAAAGTTACTTCTGTTTGTTTCTTGTTTATACGAGTCCAAACTTCTTCACTAGTGGGCCCCAGTGAAACATCATATCCTTCCCAGATCCTTCAAACCTCACCTTGACAGATATATATTACTGGGCATCGTATCAACAGCTTCCTGACACCAAGACATTAAGACAGAAATTTGCAATCTGTTCATACTATCCTTGAGGTTTATTCACTTTTTGACTTCACAGGTGCACTCATAGGAACAGGCTAAACATAATTATGAGCACGTTTTGAATAGGTAGAACTATATTTTCCAAATCTGTCTACCTAAAACGAACAAGCACAAAATGGGACGCTTTCCCAATTTCAGCCTTGATTAACAAACAAAACAGTAATTTAGCAGTCAGGCTGATATGAAATAAACTGAGCTAAATCAGAAGTGCACTACTGGATCTTTCCAAAGTTATTACTAAATTCTCTGGTTTTATTTACTATTTTCAATATGACAAATACATTCTTAAACACATGTATGTGAGTATAAAAATGATGAAAGGCAATCTTCTTTCTTTTAATCCACCAGATTATTACCATGAAAAGAAACACCAAGAACCAAGAGAAGTGCCTTGGAAACCAACAGGGAAATAGAACTTACTACCTTTATAACATATTCCATTGTGAACAAGAGATTTATTTTTGCAGATTGACAGACTACTTCCCATAATTCTTTTAACATGCGTTTTGTATGTCGTCAACAGTTTGCAGATTGACATTCTTTACAGTAGCATAACTGCCAGTAGTACTTAATGCTCCATACTTAAAAACACACTTTACAACTGATGTGTAATGCTGCCAAAAATTATGTATACACAAATATTTCACCAAGAAAATTGATGTTCTATTGCTTAATTCTACAATTTTAAGGAATGTTTGTTTGTATATCTAGAACTACTAAAGATCTGCTCCACAGTAGTTGTGGTCACTTGATATCCTTCATGCTTATGCAATTTTTTAAAAGTTTGGTTAAAACAGACTTGCATTGGGGTCACATTGTACCCTAGGAGTACAAATTGCATGACAAACAGGAACGTAATTCCAAGTAGACATATTTTTGGGGACTGTGGAGCATGGATTTTGTACACAAACACAAGCTGCCATTAATTTACTTTATATAATAAATGTATAAAACATTCCAACGAACGTGCAATATGTAAATACTGTAAATAACAAGCATAAGTAATAAAGTGTTTGGTATTAAGTTGTTCTCAGTTTGCTTTCTGTTCACTGAATACAGATAAACAAGCTATCTTCCAGTAGCTACTATCACTTATCCACACTTAAGCCTCTTTCCAGTAAGACTTCACTAGAGTTAAGAAAGAAAGGTACACCCACCTCAGAGAAGTCAGTAATTTGGACACTCTCTATGGATTTGTGAGGACAGACAGATCTGTGTGTGCCAGTCCCGCAAAATGCCCAGACCACAAGGCTGCTCCAATTCTCTACAGCATTATAAATTTGAATCTTTTTTTATGACAAACAGTTGTTTTGATTTTTTTGGTTGGGTTTTGTTTGGTTGGGTTTTGGTTTGTTTTTTGGGTTTTTTTTTGTTTGTTTTTTAAATCTCCAGTCTATTCATGATACTGCAAGGCAATATAATCAGTATATGTCCAATAAATCATTTTAGTAATGTAAAATTTTTAAGGAGTCAGTGAACACTTACTCAAGAAGCCTAGATACACATCTCCCTTTCTTCCTTAAATCAGATATTAAATCCAGTTGTCATAATAAAATGACTCAAACAGGAAGAAAATTTTTATGTATCATTTATAGATGAACCTCAGGTACTTTTATCTTAATACGGGCATTTAGCTTCCATTTTATCCTCAATTCAAACCACAAAACGTAAAAACAAAACCAAACACACCCCTCCCTACCCTGAGAAATAGCTAGGAGCTGGGATTCTTGAAATACACTTAAGAGCCATCAGCATCTAGCTCTTTAGAAGAAAAAAAATTTAAAAAAAAGGCAGAAGTACAAAATCCCATCCTAGAACATGGCTGTATTTAGTAAGGGAGAAGTACATATTTTTTATTTGCTTTCAGTGATCACTAAATGCTAAAGTTTCATTACTCAATGGAAGTAATACATGCATACCGAAAATCTGGTAGTTAAAGGGATCTACTGCTACAGGATTCACTTAGCTGCTTATCTGCAGTAAACATGTGCATGGAACTCTGTGCTTCTCTGTGGTTCCACTGGCTGAAATCAGATCACAGCATTTTATTTAAACATGGGAGTTTAAATTAGCATAAATCTTTCTTTTTGTAGTAGAACACCTGAAATCTGGTTAAATAAAAACTTTCCAGAAAAATTCCTTGTAAAAGGAAAAAAATAATTTATTTAATGGCTTGATAAATGAATATTAATAATTTAATCCTATATAAGTTTTCTCTAGATTTAGCAGAAGTCAGCATGCTTTGACAGAAGATACAACTATACTATAGAAGATTTTTTTTTATTTAGTCTTAGGTATATGCTTACTACCTAAATTAAAACAAGCCGTGGTGGGGGAGAGGGGGAAGGAAGAGGAATCAGGTCTGTATTTTTTCATTCAACATTACATTTTTCATGAGTGGTATTTTAAACCCGTAAGAGCTTAGTCATCTGTACAATCCACAATTTCTGTATTAATGTTATGTTCACTGTTTCTGTTGGAACCCAAATAACGGTACTGTACAACTGTCCTTCCTGAAAGCAATTCCTCTTCTGTATTCTTGTATTCTACAAATTCTTCTAAAATACCATGGTGCTCTCCTTCTCTTCCTCCAAAAGAAACCCACTAAGGATAAAATCAAATCAATCAATCAATCAGCTTTTTCCTCCTAATACAGCTAGTGAATTATTTAGCCGATAGATTACTTGCTGAAAATATTCCTCAAGGCTGAAACTTTTAAATCTGAACTGAATTTAACACACATAGTTTTGACTTAGTATCACTTTACAGGAAGATTCCTAAGCCTAGTGAAGGTAAACAACCATACCCTTTTATCTCCTTTTCTGTTACCCCAGCAGCTCAAAGGTAAAGATTTAAGACTTTTAAATCTTAGCTTTAATATGTAGGGAACTATAGGTTCAATTCCTACTCAGCCATGAATGGGAAAGCACCAACCATCATGTTCTCAATCTTCGGAGTTATTTTACTTCCAGGGGAATATCTTAAATGGTCATTCTGGCAGAGAGTAACATTAGATTACGCCTAAATACTTCCACTTCTGAGGTTAGTGCATAAAACCACATTTAAGATTGTTTGTCCCTAACTGCCCATCATTTTCCCTCGTTTATTTTGTCAAAGCATTCATAAGTGGAAAATAATTTTTTCCAGAGTCAGTGCTTGATCTGACCTGAAATATTATATATATTACTCTTTGTCCCTGAAGTAAAACAGCTATTAACTTGCAAATTCCTAGCTTGTTCTTTAAAAATCATAACTATTGGTAATGCAATAATGCACAAAGAACCCGATTTCTGTATTTAAGTGTTCCATCTGCCCCTTGCCTTTTTCTAAGTAGGTTCTTAAGTTTTATGTCTGAAATTTTAGCACAAAACAGAAGCCTCACTAACACAAACACAGCTGTTCTACAGCAAGAGTCTCAGGAAACTTAATCCCCATTGTGCAGGCTGCAGCACACGCAGAGTGACACCAGGATTCCTCCCTCCCAGGAATGACAGGGTCCTCTATTGAAATGCATCCCTCTCCCAGAAGGGAGAGTAGGTGACAAATACAGAGACTACTCTATTAGTTTGGAAGGCAGACAGGGAAAAAAAAGGCTAAATAAATGAGAAAGCAAGTTTTACAGATCCAGTTTTACAAATAATGTGGTAATGCTAATTCATACCAATGTTGGTATTATTCAAAATAAGAATATCAGTTACATTACTGATCTCAGTACGTTTACATTTCTAAGGCAGAAATGAAAGGTGATGTTCGGACAAAGAGGCATGGATTTTTACAAAGCATTCAATTTTTGTCCAAGAGCAGAACTTTCTACTTACTGGCCTTCTGTTAACTTTGTATTATGTTACAGATGGACTGTCTTCAGGTTGCACTATACTCTCAGAGAACATTGTTGGCAGGCTATCCATTCTCCTGAGTAAATCTGAAAATATTGTCCGACACCCACATAGGAACTGGGATTATAGCAAATTTCTCATTGATTATATTGCATTGATTTGAGTATTTTACTACTATGAGATACAAAATGTACGTTTCACATTTAGGCTTTTAAGATGACCTTTTTTGTCCTCAAAGTAAATACTGTTACACGTACTTGTATCAGTGTGCTAGGAATTGACCACAAGACCAAAGGAAGACTAGCCAAAGAAGTCCTATTAACATCAATCACTATTTCTGAACTGAGTTCATCTTAATTAGTATAAAAATGTAATAGAACAAAAATTATTTCTTCTTTGAATAACTGAGCATTTAAACTGATACAAAAAAACATTTTCACAGGATCCTGATGACACACACAGAGGTTTTGCTTGCTTAAGCTTTGAAATAGTGCTACGAGCAATGTCTCTCTCGGGGCAGGCAGTTTTTTAGTCTAGTAGGCTCAGTGTGAAACAGCTTCAGCCCAAAGGCTGTCTAATGATACTAGGATGACAGGCCTAACTTATCATACATGAACTATTACCTCGCAGACTCCCACTGAAAGTTGATTTAAATGAACTCACTAAGGGCACAGTAAGAAGACCTCAGTTTAGTTAGTACAGCACATGAAGAAGCAAGATGTTACTTTTGCAGTGCTTGTGAGAAAGCACTGGAAGAGTTTACAGATAAATTTATTCTGAGTGATATACTTCCTTATTACACTGATGTGTGACAAAATGGTTGATCATCTAATCCAATTAAAACTTTGCTATATTTTTTAATTAGATGACAGAAAAGCTAAAACGTAGAATTAAACTGAAAAAGTTTTGAACCTACTGAGACGTAATTTTACAATTTAAATACATCAATCAAGTAAACTTTACATATTTCAGGAGAAGCTAATTATTTTCTTTTAGAAATAAAATGATGAAGCATTAATGAGACTTCTCAAAAAATGCTTTACAGCATCTAACACATTGCTCGTAAACAGTTTCAAAGTCCTTTTCATTCCCCTAGAAAAGAACAAAGGAAAAAGAACATAAGAATAGCAATACTGGCTCAAACAAAAAATTTTTGCAAACTAGTTTCCCACTGTCAGAAATGGCAAATAACTGACATTAGACAGTAAGAAGTAGAAGAATAAGAACAGTACAAATACTTGGTGATAGTTTTTGCATATTTGTCCCTGATTTGAACTACTTGCAGCTCAGGAACTTCGAAAGCCAAACATTGTGACTTTGTACTCAACAGTCCTGGATGAACTTTCCTTCACATATTTCTTCCCTTTGCTTTTTGAACCCTTATAAGCCACTTATTTTTTTCTTTACATTCACAGTAACCTGTCATGCTGAGTTTCACAGTTTAATGAAGCACTGTGTGGAGAAAAAAAAACCCTACAACCTCTTTTTCTTTTGAACCCCCTTCCCACTAATACCATTTGATATTCTCTACTTCTTAGATAATGAACAGAAATTCCTTATTCACCTTTTCCCATGATATCAAGATTTTATAGAACACTACTGCATCTTCATCCACTTGTCTTTCCTAAAGTGAAGAATCTTTATCTAATTGGTTGCTCTTGGCTGGTATTATTGAACTTCTTTGACCATCTCAGTCCATGTCTTTGTCTCTATCTTTCCTGATTACATCCTCTTTGCAAGGAGGCTGACCAACCAGGGCTTCACCCAGTATTGAAAATATAGGTGCACTGCATTATTTAAATTTAAATAACTATTATAAGCATAAAGACATGTTTTCTTTTCCTGTCCCAATAATTTATATTGTTTTGTTAAGTCATTAAAAAAAATATGTTTACACTTGGCTTTGTATAACAACAGATTATGTGTCACATGTCAACTGTGGGATCTGGAAAGTTTATATACTAGACATACACAACTTTTAATCAAGCCACCCAAAGAATTTCTTACATACATACATAGTATGGATCTTCAATGATAAGTTGTTTCTGTGGATCATAAGCTCCAAGTAGTTCAATTTTGGCCTTGCAGTCTTTAACTTGATTGCTTTTCCTTTTCAGATCTCTGTAAAAGAGAATAAAATTTTCCCCTAAGTTTTTCTTCAGAACATTTTTGGCATCAGCATGAGATGCTCATGACTGTTTCTAGAGAACACAGGAAAACAATATGCATCTGGACTCAGTCAATTCTATGGACTCTCTATGGTGCTGCTTATTTTCATTTGTTTCTTGTTGTATGGTTGTTTTTTTTTAACTGAGTATGGAGGACATATACATAAACTTAATTCAGAGCATAAACAAGCCGTCAGGCACTTGGCTAAGGCTTAACAGAACTTTTTAACAGTAAGTTCATCAAATTCTTTCTCAAATCAATCATTACTACTTTCAATATCCACCTTTAGCTTGTATTGAACAAAAATAATGAAAATTATCTAGATATTTTGCCAGAAGTATGAGTAAGCTTCTCCCATCTGTCCAAACCTGGTGTTTTAAATTGGTATGCTGCAAATTCTTTCAATACTGCCTCTAACTCATGTGAAGCCCTGCTACATTCAGTTAACAGAAAATGGTAAATTGGTGAGCAAGATCTGTCTTCCCTTTGACATACTATAACATTTCATCAGTTGTCATATCCTCTTTCTTCTACATTGCCTCCCATTGATAAAATATACTGGTATTGAGATGGTATTTTCTCCATCTACTTACAAATGGCCATCCATTATCCCAAATGCAGTTAAAATGTACCTCGCATCATCTTCAGATTAAAAGCAGCTCAGTACTGTGATTTTCACAATGCTGAACAGCCAGAACATATTCAATTCTTTTAGTATTACACATCTCCATACCAAATCATTTTACTTACCCAGCATTAAAAAAAAAAGGCAAAAAACCCTAATACTTAGTCATAAGCATAATCAGTTTTAAGAACTTAAATTCTAATTATCAGTTAATTCTGGTTACAAAATTAATTTCAGACAGTTTAGAAATAGCAGTGAGACCACAATATTGTTTTTCCTTGAACAAATATCAGGACCCCTCTATCAACTAAGAAGTTACTCCTTGAATTTACTGATTTTCAATAAATTCTCTAGCCTTTTATTATTAAAAAAAAATCTTAATCATTTTCTTCGAGGCTTTTGGCATACCGCTTAATGAACAGGAGAGGGCCAGGCTGCTCTGGTACTAAGGAAAAGAGATGTCCCAAATCTTCCTTTTCTGATATGACAGGCACTCCATCAATACCTGGAATCAGCTTGTCCTCCTAGTTCTACAAATAGGCATTCCCAGGGAAAATGGTTGAACTGGGTGCAAGTTTAAGGTGAAACTTAAGTGTAGCAGTAGCAACATCCCTATTGTAGTCGTGACGTTTCTTCTGCTCTGCAGCTCATATCATATAAATTGTTAATACAGAAGTAAGTTTCCATTTAAGAATTCAATTGAAAATAGAAGTAAGTCTAGTCACGTCTTTGCCTGATGCACTGCAATCAAGCCAAGTGTTATATACCCTTCATTCATGCAGGCTGTGTAAGAGAGGTCATGCAACTCATTCTAGAAAATTCAACAAAATTATATCAGTTAAGTGGTACTGCTTCTAAAAGTCTTTACGTGCTACTAATAGGATTTTACTTGGGTTTTGGTTTGTTGTTGGCTGTGGTGTTTTGGTTTTTTTTTTAAATACCTTTACAAGTAATAGTCTTTACAAGCACTTTGATACTTGCAGTTTATTAAAGCTCAGCCCCTTAACCCCAATCATCAAGACGTACGTAATTAAGTAGAAATTTTGCTAATGATACCCAAATTTTCACACTAGGCAGCTACTTCACCAAATCTTTCTAAAGCATGAATTGTCTCAAAGACGCACTTAAGTAGAACAATGCTAACAGTAACAAACAAGATTTGTGCCAGCTAACAACATTACTTATTTCAGAGATAACTCTATTTCTATTGAAAAAGAAAAAAACCCACACCATATTTAATCCCTTCCAAGTTTCTACAGTGTCTTTTAGATCCCATGCAATTAGAAAAACAGATTGTTTCAATCAACACAGTATGTCGTCATTCTTAACTATACAGGTATCAGCTGCAGATCTATAGCACAAAGCATACTAAATTTCCATGTCCTTAATCCTTGAGTGGCATGTATCACAGAAATAAACCGTTCAGTTCTAGCTCATTAAACTTAGTAGAAGTGAAGAATCTATCCATTACGATATCATTCACACACACACACAAAAAACCAACCCACAAAACAAAACAACCCAAGACAAGCCAAGCAGTAAAACGTGACATCTATCTTCAAAGTGACTTAAGAGACATCAGTACAAGTAATCCATATGAATTTGTTCCATTTCTTCATACATTACCTTAGATTGCTCTCATCCATACAAAGTATATAATCAAAGGTCTGGAAGTCATCTTTAGTAACCTAGAATTAAAAATACGTGCTTTAGCCTACAAACTGTGTTTGATTTATAAAAAGGGGGAAAAAAGTATTTTTTAATAAATCAGAACCACAAAATTGAGAGACACAGGTGGAAAGAATAAAACCATGTACCTTCATCAACTTTTACAATAACTTAAGGCATTTTAAATATACTCTGCCATAATTATTTATCCATTTCTGCAAGTTTTCCACAAAAAAACCCAAGTTAGCTATTTTACCAATAATTTTTTTTTAAATATCTCATGCATTAACTTAGAACATCATTACAAGTGACATTTCTAATGCTTTCCAATTACTAAAACTAAAGCAGGTTTCCCGTCATGGAAACCAGGCAATAAAAATGTAGACAGATTACTTTCTTGATAGGAAAACAAAAATGTATGTACCCTGGAATCAGCTGCAATACTTCCAAGCTAGAAATTTGTCACTACACAGCAAAAGATACCAAGTGAAATTCAAAGCTCAAGTATGATGTTATGAGTTACAATCTCTTAAAAACAAATGCATTCACAGTCTTTTAGGCCATGTAAGTTCAGAAAATTTATGGTATGATGTGAAAAAAACTGGGATCTATTGTACATCTTTCTACCATCATACCATCTGTTCTTTCTCTTTCCTGTAGCTTACTGACTCCTAAACATGAACATAAACTACATTCAGAGATCTGAGTTCAGAGTCAGGTAGGCAAACATTGCAGATAAACCACTATCTTCAGTACTAATGCTATTTGTATGGGAATAAGGATGGTTGCAGATTTTTACAAGTATAATTATATTTTAGTTTACATTTAAGACTTGGCTTCAGGTAAAATCTTCCCAGACCACGCCCACAATGCACAGGATGCTAGTATAAGATATCTCAACCAAGTGTCCATAATGAGGATGAATAAAGGGGATAAAATCTATACTGAGTTCACATTAAGACTGCATTTCATGCATAGTCCTATATGTAGTATCACAACCAAGAAACTTGCAAAGTTTGTTCAGTACAGGTTTTTCTGGCAGGCGTCTCTTGGAAGGATGAGCTAAAGAAGTGAGTAAGCAAGTGAACGGACAAAAAGGCAAAATACATTATCCTCTAAGAGTTTTAAATTGTAAAAATTATTTACACATTTAAAAAAAACCCCAGGTTTAGATGGCAAAAAACCCACTTATTTTTGTTCAAACAGCAAATAGATACTGATTAAGCTCCCGTAACAGGGAGTAAGAAAAGACCTACAGAAATTATCACCAGACTAAAGTCATAAATGAAATATTCCACACAAGGAGAACTGAAGGGGTGAGATATGTAGGGGGGAGCATTTGAAAAGAAAGGGTTAACGGTGAAAACTAATGCAGACTTGTTTATTTTCACTGTAAAAATATTTGCTGTATTCATGCAGTGCCTCTGACCTACGAAAATATTTTTGCAGTGGAAATAGCTCTGTTTTCCTGGCAACTCTAAGCAGGACCTCTACAAGCTGCTTCTGACTGCTCTACACAGCTAAACACTGGCCCCTGTGAAAATACGTGGGCATAGATTTCTTTGTAGTGCAGACATATGTAAGAATAAAAACCAGTGAAAAGGAAAAACACACGTGCCACACTTCCCACACTCTCTGTATACTTGACAACTTGACAGTTATTACCCTATGAACCAGAAGCTTGTGGTCTTAAGCCCTACTGTAATATCAGATAGAAAAAGCTTAATTGAGCAAACTCTAGTGAACTGAAGATAGTCCTCAAAACTATGAAAACTAGTATTTGGGGGGAAGAAATTGAGGACATAAAAATTTATGTACATTTTGAGAAGAGTAGTGGAGAGCTCAAGAAGTCGCCTTTGGATAGAACTACACAGACAACAATAACTTTACATTAAAAAAATAGCATATAACCATTATTAAAGACCATCAATGGAGAAACACATGATCACTCAAATTTATTTGTTAAACATTTCCCTTTGTTTACAGAAGGGAAATCTCCTTTTCTGTGTCTAAAAACCAAAGACAGGCAGTAGTCCTCAAATTTATTCAGTTGTGAAACAGTGTTTTAATACAGCCTTCCTCTAATCTCAATTTCGCATTTAAGGCAAATGCACGGTATGAGTCATACAGAAATCAATTTTGGCCTCAGCATGAATAAAAGTGAAACTGATTAATACCTATCTGTTTTGTGCATGAAGACTAAGAGCTTAGAGAATTTCAGCAGGTGCATAAACATACAGCAACCTACCATCAACTAAAATGTTAACAAACTCTTTATTTTATATATAAAGATATACACTTATTTTTATACTTCAGTTTTCACTTAAAATTCACTTAAATGATCACTGTATATGATGGTAGGATGTAACCAATTTAACATTCTCTCTTACATAAATCATTCTTGTAGCATTTATGTCAGTTTTCAATAAAAAAAGGTACAATCCAAGATTATCATAATTATGCACAAAATTACATGAAAGAAAGTGCCTTTCACTGGGTGGGTAACAGTTTTCCACAGGAGTGAAGAGGATAATTGCATGAGGTAGTCATCTTATGACAGCATTTTGAAGGCAACAGAAGATAAATCCCTTCTCTCTATTTCTGCAGCTTCTGTATTAAATCCTCCTTAATCTGTTCTGAAACAAGTCACACACAAAATTTTATCCTTGAGTTTGTCTCTAATAGTGAAACAAATACACTTCTACTTGTATTAATGTGACTACTCTGAAAAGTCCTATTCTACACTGTTCGGTCTCTTTCCAGAAGTACTACGAGACCCTGTCACGTCCACAGTTTACAGAATCAGCAGAGACCATTTGACAAAGTCTGAAAAATATTGGAGTTACATAGTTAACATCCAGTGCAAAATGAACAGTTACCTGTAGTTCAAGGATTTGAAAATTTTCTTTATAAAAGAAACTGCTTGTACCAGGATGTTTTAGACAAATTTTCATCCTGTTAGTCTTCCATTTTATTGTCTCATTCTTGTTAATTTTCTCTCCCTGTATATGTAACATTTTAGGCTCTTCTGCTTTAAACATCTCTTAATTTGTCAGAATGTATTAGCAAATGTCTTCATTAAAGTGTTTTCATTCTCCCTCTGCCAAAGAAGGCTATATAGATTTGTTTCAAGGCAGAGGAACAACTGGTTTTGGATGCTTTGCTTTAGTTTAGCTGCTCATAAACCACTCCAGTAAATACCCAAGAACAGTTCTCAAGTTTCCAAGGCTTATCTTTTAAGAATACCAACATGTTACACTACTGCGACTGAAACACTGACTGATTAGTTTCAGTACCGTTTAGGTTGTACAATGATAAATAATGCTGTTTGTAAGCACTGATGAATAGTAAATCCAGAACTTGTAACACGAAAAGATCACAACAGACCTTTTCTAGTAATTATTCTAATAGTAAAACACTGAAAAATCTAAAACAATGTTGTGCTCAATCCTGTTTGTTTTATTATATAATGGAGATTAGCATCAGGAGAGGTCGGCAGAGGGCAATTGACTAATTGAGGGAATTTATTTTAAAAAGTTAAAAAACTAAACATGGAGTCTTTGAAAGTGAAGAAAGTAAATATGACCTCAGCAAGGTCTAGTAAAATTCTGAAGGGAACAGAAATGGAAGATAGTAACAAGACTACCTGATCTTTTTGTCAGTACAAGAACTAGTAGCATAAACTCAAGCTAAGTAAAGGTCAAGCCCTAAAGGAGTATCTTATGTCCAGAGAATAGCTAACTGAAGTAAGTTATGTGCATCTATTTGAGTGTCTGAATGATTTTAATAGATGCAGACACATTTATTTCCGATCTCTCTGGAATGCAGGATGGAAATACACGTTCTTTTGTTAATGAAAACTGAGATGAGTTTTGGTAAAACTTAGAGGATTTCACAAAGACACTTTGACTTAAGAATGTTTCAAGGGTACGTTTTCCTTTGAAGTAACTGTGCTACTAATCTTGGGTTTGAGTGCTTTCATTCTAATTTAGCACTCTAAATTTTTTTAAAAGATCTTCATGCAAGAGTAGAAGCTTTTTGTGATGGATGAACAGGTATTCTACTTCTTTTTGGACCTGCTAAATAAAAATACAATTCCTTGCTGAAAGAAGCATCACAGATTACTAGAGTAAGTCCATTTTAAAAAAGCATTAAAAAAATGTTTCAGAAAACTGCCCAAAATACTAAACATTTGAAAGTAGGATTCTTCTATAATGCAGAAACTGCTCCAATGCTTCCAATGAAGCTTAGTAACAAGAAACTCACTGACCTCAACTAGAAGAGTTAGGCCACTTTGGAGTCCTTTGAAAAACTGCACATGATATTTATTACTTGATGCTTAACATGCATTAGTCAAACGACTTCTGTGACTGTAATGGTTAGGGCCAAACAAAGCATGGGTATGAATACGAAAGAAAAATATACTCTCTTCTACCTGCCGTGCTTTGTGTGCTGTCTCAATGCCATGATTTCTTAGACAGCTTAAAGCCCTTGCATCTGGGGAGCGCCCCACGTTCCAGTCTGAAACAGCAGCACTGTCTGTCATCCACTGTAACAACAAAACAAATACATACACACATTTAAAGGAAATTAAAATACAGTACCTGCCTCGCAATATGATTCATGGTAATGCCATGCTTCTTCATGCAAGTCTGTCCTCGATAGTCAGGAGGGCTTCCTATTTCATAGGCAGATGTCGCTGCACTGTCTATCCTCCACTACAGAAAAACAAATTTATATTTTTATGTTTCCTTTCTCACAGCTTATATTTCTACTAACTGGCTATGAGACAGTTATTTCTTAGGCAGGAACAGAAATAAATAGCTTACCTTATTTTCAACTTTTTCATCAGTTACAAGTTTTCTAAAAACTGCTTCAGCTATTGGAGAGCGACAAATGTTTCCTATAGAAACAGGAGATTAAAGTGAAACTTCAGATTATTTAAAACAAAAAATCAGTAATTGTGTGGATTTGTCAGCACAGAGCAGATTAAAGATTTTTATTTACTCTAGGTAGAACGCGGATTGCTTATGTTATTATAACCCAAGAGATTCTGCAAAGGTGGAAACCCAGAGTCCTGCACCTGGGTTGAGGCAATCTCCAGTATCAGTACAGGCTGGGGGATGAAGGGATTGAGAGCAGCCCTGTGTAGAAGGACTTGGGGATATCGGTGGGTGAAAAATTGGATATGAGCTGGCAGCGTGCACTTGCAGTCCAGAAAACCAATTGTATCTTGAGCTGCATCAAAAGACGCGTGACCAGCAGGTCAAGGGAGGTGATTCTGCCCCTCTGCTCTGCTCAGGTGAAAGCCCACCCAGAGTACTGCATCCAGCTCTGGGGTCCCCAGCACAAGAAAGACATGGACCTGTTAGAGTGGGTCCAGAGGAGGGCCACAAAAATGATCAGAGGGCTGGAACATCTCTGACTGAGAATTGGAGTTGCGCAGCACGGAGAAGAGAAGGACTGGGGAGATCTTATTGTGGCCCTTCTATATGTAAAGGGGGCTGTAGTGACAGGACAAGGGGCAACGGTTTTAAACTGAAAGAGGTTACATTTATATTGGACATAGGGAAGAAATTTTGTTACAACGAGGGTGGTGAGGCGCTGGAACAGGTTGCCAAGAGATGTTGTGGATGCCCCATCCCTGGCAGTGTCCAAGGCCAGGCTGGATGGGGATTTGAGCAACCTGGTCTAGTGGAAGGTGTCCCTGCCCATAGCAGGGGGGTTGGACTAGATGGTCTTTGAAGGTCCTTTCCCACCCAAATCATTCTATGATTCTATACTATCCATCAGTCTCTTGAAATGCATATCATTATATGAAAATATAACTTATTAAAATAAATAGGAGGAATATTGTGTAAGAAGATTGCTCTTTTCTTCCCCTCCACAAAGAATCCATGATCACAAAAGAGAGGCAAAATTACAGAATTTATACGGCAGCAAATCATCTTTATCTTCAAATCTTCCTACACACCGGCAAATTTCAACTAACACTTTACTGGAGAATCATGAATATTTGCCTGCAGTATTTACATTACTACCTACTTGTTAACAAAAACTTCTGGACAATTCCAAAACACAGCCACCACCACTGTGGAATCCATGTCGTGAAATAGCTGAACAACCTGTAGTAGAAAAACTCCTGACCACTGAAGTGAAGTCACTGCAGGTCAAACTGAGCCCTTCTCAAGAGCAGCTTCCAGATACCAATTCCAGCCCCCCCAAGAGAAATCAATTACACAAGCTCTAAAAACACCTCAGGAAAATAAATTTGCCATTTTTTGGGGGGGTCCAAAATATGGAGGATTAGGAACAAAACATAACTGAATGCAAAGCTGAAGTGCTGCCAATCAGCCAACAGTTAAGGTACTTAATTATATAAATATGTAATCTGTCTTCCCTTCCAGTGGCCTCCAATTGCTCTAGCCACTTGATCTGACCTTATTTTCAATAAGAACCTATTTCAACAATGAAATAGTGCCCTGTTAAAAACTAGAAATAACGGATCTACAGCATTTTTGCTCCACTGCTGAAGATGTAACTAAGTTAACCATCTAAGGTAGACCTCTCAAACTTACATGCAAAAATACATATTCTTTGAAAAAGAATTATATGTCTCAACAACAATAAAAAGTCTATTCAACTATTATTTTAGTTCTTTCTACCTTTTCATCCTTCAGAAATTCTGAGTAACTAGATGGATATTCACAGTATTTGATATGTCACCCAGATGCACAATAAATCACACAAACAAATCTTCACTTTCCATCAAAGAGAATGTATGACTTTGCTATCTCTGACTTTTGAACAGATAAGTATAAAATATCACAAATGGCAACAGTCATTTCTATACCTTTAAATAAATCACTCTTCTACTACTGATTAGATTATTTCCAAATCTCAAACAGAAAAAAAAAAATGAAATGCCCATGAACAAAGCTAAGTTTCCAGCAGCAAAAAGAAATTTTCAGATCAAGCACTTAGCCTCATTTTCATGCCTATATCTTCAAACAAAATATCAAGGTAGTTACTTCACTGCTAAAGAGAAAGAAGCTACTATGATCTGGGCATCTAGTAACTTCCTGTCAATCATACCAACTATAAAAAAAAAAAAAACAACAACAAAGTGGGAAGTGAACCACTGAAGTAATACAAATTTGCTGTCAAAGTTTGAGAGAACATCAAATCGCTAAAGGACATGGCTAACCATTGAGAAATTCATGTTGCTGAAACATTAAGTGAATTTTGATAGCAGTAGATGTCTCCCAGGAGAAAGCATACATTTCCTTTGTTTGAACTAGTTTATTCCAAGCAGAGAAACTAAATTGGTCTTGGAAGAAAAATAAAGCACGAAAAAGTTGGTTTTATTTATAAAGTAAGTGAGAAAACAGGTTAGGGCTTATTAATTATAAAAATGTTAAAGAATATGCTAATAAATTAGAAAAATAAATCTCACTTCTTTGAGTAAGCCAGTTGGACAATAAACAATGTAATTTTACTAGGAAACAGAGGGAACATGATAACATACAGCATAAGACAGAAAAGAACCTTCATAATCAGTGAGCCCAATCCTTTGATACTGCAGGCATATACAGCATCACTTCTCTTAAAAACACATCCAGCTTTCTTTTAAAAAGCATCATCTATCTTAAAAGGCTATTTCAGATACTCATTTCCTGTGGCAGCTTGAAACCTTCCAGTTCCCACTTTATTCTTGGAAGTCTATGCTCATCTGATCTTGGTTAACATCACTCTCTATCTTAAAAACCTTTCTTTCCTTCAACAGATACAGAACCCTTGTCAAGCATAGCTGTGCTAAACTAAACAAACCAAGCTCTCAGTCTGCTCATGAAATGAACTGACCCTTATCTAATCACTCCAGTTAAGCCAGCTCTGCACTTGTTCTAATTTGAATTTATTTTTCTTGAATACTGACAAATAAAACCACAGACCACACTGCAGGAAAAGATTTCACCAACTTGTTTTATAAAAGAAAAAAAAAAAAGTCTGATATACTTACTTAGCTCTTTTGAAAATAACCTGAGATAACTTCTACAATCACATTTGACTCCTTCACGAGTATCAAATTTGCGATCATAATCCCCCACTTCTAATTTGTCCATTCCCTCTCTTTCTCTGTTGCTCTGACTTAAAAATTAATGTCTTCCGTGATGACACATTCCAGATATTACCGGAGGTATTAACGGTATTACAGAACTGCAATCACCATTCAAATCTATTCTTGGGGACTATGGACAGAATCCCAGAACTGACTTAATAGAAACTCTTTTCTCCACATACTCTGCAATATTATTTTCATCCTAACCAACTCTGTTTACCCATGCTACTCCTTGCAACTGTTATCATTCATTTCATCGTTAATGTAAAGCCTGATCTCATCTCACTGATATATGCAAACTTCCATCCTGGTTTTCCAGTCATTGTCCCTTTCCCATGATATTTTCTATCCATTTCATATCCAGTTTTACATCCCACATCTGTCTTTCCAGGCTTTGTTGAGGTCCCTAACAGATGCACAGTATTTCCTAAGTTATGGATTGACAGCCACAATTGGGGAATATCTCACAATAAGATTAATAGGGAGATTACCTTCCTCTTTGGACTTGAACCATATTTTCCTTAAATGTTACCAACACCTTGTATTTGCTACCTATCCCCCTCTGTTGTATTTCTGACTGATCTAATCATGCTCTTTTTATGTAGAAGATACCAGTACTAAAGTTCTCTGAATCTCCATCTTCTCCCTTCTTTTTTAAATTTCAAGCTCTTAAAGTTGTAGTAACATTTTCAATCATAAAAAACTAGTACCCAAGGTACCCAGACACAGTCCATCCATCGAAATAAATCCTACAAACATCTCCAAATATGATGATTCAAGGTTAAGAGACTTAAATTTCAATCACAGAATCAGTACAGGAACCATTTGCTGATCACTTTTATGGAATCATGTTTTCTCACTCATTTTCTATAAACAAGGACTCCAGTGACGGTTATCCAAGCCAATGCTTAATTTTTTTAGTTCTTACTCCAGTCTCTGCATTAATCTTTGACCCATTCCCATACAGAAATGGAAGCATTGCTTCTACTGACAGGAAAGACAACTTGTAACCCTCCCACTACCAAAACCTTGCCACACAAACCCAATACAGCATCATCCATCAGGTCCCCTTCATAAGTGAGTGTTTAAAACTCACTACTCACTTTATTCCATTCCTCACCCAGATTCCTGTCTGAACTTCATCATGAGTCCTAGATCTTTCCAGTTAAGTCTATCTTGTCACACTCAGCATTCAGGTAGCTTTGTAAGGAACCATTCAAGGCTCTGATTTTAGTCCAGATTCCCTGGCTTTCACTTCACAGTCAATTTCATTGAATACTTACACTCTTTATCTGAAAAACCTAAGTATATAGCTACCTAAATGATATCATCTAACTTCCATACATCCCCCCACTACCAACACACAGTGAGATTTCTCTCAGAAGTCGAATATTAGCATATGTGTGTGTATATATTTCTAAGCAGAACTCAATTTTTGCTCAAGATCTCTTAACACTTTTTAAGCGTAGACCTTATAATCTTATTTTCCAAATTTCTTAATTTTTGCTTTTACAACCATGCTTTCAACTCTCTAGTACTTCTGCATCATTCTGAAACAGATTAAATAAGGCATTGTAGTCTTACAGCTAGCTTACCAATGCTGCACAGAATAAAGGTACTTTCCTTACATTTAGCTAACATTCTCTTCTTTATCAAAAAAATGGCATTATTTCTTTTTGTCATCTTGCTAAGAACCCTCATTACAGAAGTTTTCCATGACTTCTTCAATGCCTTATCCAACCTATTGCTTTCCGATTCTGCTGCTATAAATGGCATTTTGCCCCATGAAACCTTGTATTTGGCTATATCTAAATGCATATAATGGATTGTGACAACTGAACTAGGAAACTCAAGTCTCTCTGTAAACTAATTTCCTCCTACCCAATAATTAATTGTCATTTTAGAAATTATTTTATGCAGTCTAAATCTCTGATGGCAATACTCATAGTCAGTGCTTCACAACAAGCTTCAATTTTCTGAGGACCCAGCCAAAACCACTTTGCTTATTGTTCACCTGTCTTACAACTGTTCCTCCACACATGGAGATCAGTAAGCCAATGCCTGGTCTAAGATGCCCATGCAGCTTGTTATCTTACAGTGAACAAGTCATCAGAAAGAAAGAGGCTGACTTATGTAACACAGTATCATATTAAGCTCATTTCTGGAGCTCAGCCATTAATTAGATGAACTACGTAGGTGTAAAAAGAGCAAACTGCATTTTGGTTCACCTCCAGTTTTAATTGTTTCTTTGCCTTAAATGAAAAAAAATTCTTGCCCGGTGCCTTTTCATATACTGTAATTACATATGTTGCTGGGTGCTTCATTTACTTCTCAGTGATGAGGAACCCTTATCATTAATGTAGTTATGCACATTAACTAGATTGATTTTGTTGTGTAATGAGTATCTTCTTATCTCATTACAAACAAAGAACACAGTCAACAGATATTTCAGTAATAGGTTTCTTTCAAAATAATGTAGAAAGAAATCTTTTTCATGAAGGCTTGTACTTTCAGTGATCAGCTCTCACTGAAAGTGGCAAACTTCAGAACTAATGTGCTTTATTAACCAGCACAGAATACTACAGATAAATGCAGTTCTAGAAATATGTTTAGTGCTCTTTTCAGCAATAACCATAGGTATTATTTCTAATAAAATTTAGGAGGAAAAATCTATTAAGGCATAAGCATCACTCTTCAAGACTAATAAAATTAAGCAAGAAAAGCAGGAAGAAGAAACAAGCTGCCTTCAAAACTTAACTGAGAAGAGTACATATCTGACTGAAAAAAAGAAGTGCTTGTCATGTCAATTAGATTTTATGTCACACGCCACATACCATTACGGTCATTTTTTTATAACCCAGTAACACAGAAAAGGAAATGTAAAAGGTATTTACAACATTTGTTTAAAAAAATCCATCTCTTTAAACATCAGTCCCAACTTGTTCGCCCTTTCCTCAAACTTAGTAATTTCACTCCATACCTAAATTATTACATTATCATCTACTAATAACAGTTCCTCAGAGACTCAACTGGATTAGGAACTTTTTACAGTGCAAATCACCATCACAGGCTTACCTATCACCCATAGATACATATGAATCATTTCGTGAAGATTACTACTGCCTTTAGAACATAGTGTTTGGAAAGAAGGATGCATATTTGTCCTGGTTTCAGCTGGGATAGAGTTAACTGCCTTCCTAGTAGCTGGTACAGTGCTATGTTTTCAGTTCAGTATGCAAAGAATGTTGATAACACTGATGTTTTCAGTTGTTGCTCAGTAATGTTTAGACTAAAGTCAAGGATTTTTCAGCTTCTCATGCCCAGCCAGCGAGAAAGCTGGAGGGGCACAAGAAGTTGGGACAGGACACAGCCAGGGCACCTGACCCAAACTGGCCAATGGTGTATTCCATACCATGGGACGTCCCATCCAGTATAGGAACTGGGAAGTGGGGACAGGGAATCGCCGCTTGGGGACTAGCTGGGTGTTGGTCAGCGGGTGGTGAGCAATTGCCCTGCGCATCATTTGTACGTTCCAATCCTTTTATTCCTACTGTTGTCATTTTATTAGTGTTATCATTATTAGTTTCTTCTTTTCTGTTCTATTCAACCATTCTTATTTCAACCCAGGAGTTTTACTTCTTTTTCCTGATTTTCTTCCCCATACCACTGGATGGGGGGGGAGTGAGTGAGCGGCTGCGTGGTGCTTAGTTGCTGGCTGGGGTTAAACCACGACAATATGAATTAGAAGTTTTAATACAAAAACATTTGTCTAGGCCACTGGATCCCAAACATACGGCAACTGATAATCCCTTACTGAAGGATGTTTTCCCTAAATTATGATTAGGGGCTGATTTTACTGTAAGGTAAACATCAGAACATATTTCACAAAATTAAACTCTTGTTTTCCTATTCAATTAATTTGCATTTCTCCTATTACAACAGAAAAGCAGATAGCAAAGAACCCCCACATTAATCAATGGTTTTGTAACCAAACTGGCAAAATGCCAAGGATTGGCAGGGATCAACTCTCAGCACATAGGTAAGATTATAAGGGCTAGGAAGCAGATAATGTTAAAAGCCCTCCTAGATCAGAGGAAAGAGCCATCTAGCTTGTTATCCCCCAAAGGGATCAGAAGCAGATGTTTAGAGAAAGCACGTACAAAACGGGGCACAGCCCTGTAATCCATGTAGTCAGGTTAGCAATTCGTTGGTTGTGAAGATGCAGAAGATCATCTTGCTTATCAGTAATCAATTGTCCTAAGCTTCAGGAAAGCATCCAAACTCTTTCTGATCTCATTTACACTTCTGGTTTCCATGAGTTCTCATGACATGAAATGCACAACTTAAGCACATAGAATACCTTTTAAAAAATAAAATAAAAATTGTTTCCTAGCTCTTCATTTAGGTAGCCCTTCAAAAATGTCACGGCCTTTTCATGATAGCCATGATTTCATAGACCAACACCATCTCCACCTTCCACCAAGTTCTTTTTCTTACTTCAAGGCCTAACATATTTTCCCTCTTCTTACAGAGGCTGCTCCGTTAACTTCAGTCACGCTTGCCACCGTTTTCCCTCCCTTTTCAACGTGAACCGCAACCCGCCCCCCGGAGGTCGGGCTGCCGCTGTGCCGCCGGGGAGACTGGCGGGGGGGGGGGGGGGGGGGGGGGGGGTGCTC